GACCTATAGGCATTACCTTAGTTCTTTCCTTTTGGGTATAAGGCGAATACCATTTTGTCAACCTGACTTTTCCTTGCCTGCTTATAAGAAGCACAAATTGAATCTACAACATAAAGCATTAGATCAACAACCAAAGTAAAAAAACCCTTGTAAAATTCAACGAATGTAAGCCTAGCAATCCTGTCAAAATCGCCACTTTCGTATTTAGCTACAATACCAAGGCAATTTACATGGTGTGCCCATTGTTGGCAAGGCAAAGATGGATCATATATTAATTTCTACAACTATAACAGCCCAGGTTTTGCTCACAAGACAACAAATTCAAACAGGAAAAAAAATCCCAGACAAGTGAGAATTGATCAATATTCGACCCAGATCTAAAAAAATTTAGCAACCCAATCTAAGAAATTGAAATATGAGGAAGAGAAGAGGCAAATGAGCAATCCAAACAATGCGGAATTTTAAAACGAAAGATCTTCGTCAACAAACAAAGGGAAGAATTCAGTTTGTCTTACCATGGCTGAGTTCTTTCCGGCGATCGGGTGCTTTTACTCTTCAAAGCTCGAAGCTTCACCCAACCCAGCTAAGCTAAGCTTAAATCCCTGCCGCTATTTATATCGGACTGAAAACTATGATTTACTTTCCTTTTCTGAAATTGGGTAAGACCGTTATAAGAGATATGCCTCTCCCGCTGGGCTCAGGAAAGAGCGAGTCAAAATTCCCAGTTGGGCTGGAAGACAACTTCTGGGCCCATAGAAAAGCCCATAAGATATCAAATTACCTTCTTCTTCTTTTTTTTCCTTCTTCACTAATAGGACATTAAATTGTTATTATCTATACATATATAAATCAAAAGGCTTTTATGGTTAAATTTTCAGAACTCAAAATTTCCATCATTTAAGAAATAAATAGGAAATAGAAATTCCTGTATAAAAAAAAATATCTATAAATAAGAATATAATTAATTAATTAATTAAAAAGTTTATTTACACGCATTGGAGTTCTGATTGAGACGCTGTTTATAAATAATTTGAAAGTACACGTCAAAATATAAGTGGAAGGGAAGAATATGAGACGGATATGAGGAAAACAGAGGGATACCAGAGAAATTGTTTATGCACATATTTGCAGTTTTCCAATCTTCACTATTATAAAATAAATCTCCTCTTTGAGTCAAAGCTCTACCAAATGTACAACATCTTAAAAACTCTTTGTAATATGTAATTTGATTATCTCACATAAATATTTAAATGGCTATGATTGGAAACAGAAAAGGAGATTAAAACTTAGAGAACTTACTGGTCAACATCAGAGTAGAGAAAGCTTTTGAAGTTGAGAGGGGAGAGTGGAGAGAGGCCAGAAGTCAAAATGATCATCAAATAATTCAAAGCATGTAATTGATGATGAAATCAAATGACAAAATATTTCTATCAACTAGCCTTATGTAGCACTAGTTCCAGATAAAACTACAACTGTTTGCAATACTGATTACATTGGCGATCACATTTCTTATAAAAGTGAAATTCACGAGAAGTCTATCTATGCAAGTGAATTTTGCATTTTTCCTCCCTCACATTTTTCTTTTCTAAAACTTTAACTTGCACCTCAAACATCATAAAGAATTAGTCTTTCTGCTGTGAAGCTTCTTCTTCCCACATGTTAATTCATAAACAACAATGGCGATTGGTTTACGTAACCCCACTCTCAATTATTTGTTAAAGAGAATCAACAGGCTCATGTTTCTTTTTAAGGGAAAAAAATAATTATTAATTTATTATTTCAATTTTAATGGATTGGCTTGATAAATGATTCTTAGATTTTCAAATTCATTAATTAAACTAATTAGAAGTAAACCTCATGCCCCGTTGACCTATCCATCATCGCCAAACAAACATATAATCAGATGCCCTACTCATTTGTCAAACTTTTTTTCATTACCAATATCCTAGTGTCGAATTCAGGATTTGATAGCCCGCTGGGCAAAACTGACTTACTAATGAATTGCTACACATAAATAAAAGCTTAACAAAAATAAAAGCCACAAGTAAATGAAAATGCAATACGAAACAACACTATTTAAATATAAAATTTTACCCTACAAGAAGCTTAGAAGTCTTAAATTCTTCAATTATCATTGCATTATTGTTATTATTAGCAAATTCTCTTTCATATATGTTGAGTACATTATACTTATGTACCTTTTTAAAAAAAAAAATCTTGGCCGAGCGGCCGCCTAGCCGAAAAAGGGCTAGATCCATCCCTGCAATATCTCATCATGAAAAATAAAATAAAACAAATAACAAAATCTAAGAAAAATATTAGATTGAATACCAAGCAAGCCCATTTATTTAGTATTGAAAGCATGGTCAAGAAGATAGATCCCTTCCTATGAACATTCACAAAACTCAACTAATGTGAGTGGGTACGCGTACCCCTCCACTCAATTATTTGCTAGAAGGAATTGAACATGCTCGTGTTTCTTTTAAGAAAAGAATAATAATTGATTAATTATTTTATTAATTCAAGTTTTAATGACTTATTTCCAAATTAATTAAACAAATTAAGAGTATGGCGCTCATGCGCCCGTTGACCTGCCCATCATCATCATCATCATCATCATCATCATCATCAACAAACATATAACATCAGATGCTCCACTCATTTGTTAAACTAATTTTTATTATGAGTATTCAATCATGACAAATTAAATAAAACAAGTTAAGTGGATTAAACTTGATAACTCACTAGATTTAAGGTACGATGAAAGAAGTTACGAAAACCAACTTCCAAATTTTGTCCGAGTTAAAGGTATAAAAGACAGATTAATCATACTTCAACGTTAAAATTTTGCGAGTTATCCAATTTAGTCTTCAGCACCAAATACAATTGCATCCAATGAATATCAGCAAGGCTTTTGTGGATGACAAATGAAAGTTGGATTATCCTTCTTGTGCTCTTTTTTGCTTTTCTGCAACTGTCTTAATTCTTATAAATGACAAAGAGCTATATGTATCTTAATTACATGAAGAAAAAAAAGGATAATCATAACCAATCACAGCCTCTCTCTCTCTCTAGAAACAAAGAACTAACTAATAAATCAAGATCAAACAACTAATAATACCAAGAAAACCCATTAAGGTAGGAGGAAGAACTATTAACACCCTCATCCCATTTTGCATGAGAAGTCTATAAACTGAAGAAAAGAGACCTGCAAATTGGGCAGGTGAAGTGGCTGCGCTCAATCCACCTCTCAATGCAGTCCATGTGGAAAACATGCCCACACTTAGACAATTGACTCACCACATCCTCCTTCTCAAACTCAACCAAGCAAATTGAGCATGTCTCCTCCAAAGCTTCCTGCCCACACCTTAAGCAACCATGATCCTGCAAGTCCTGGAACCTAGCCACTGGAAGGCACATCTGGTCCTCCTCCTGCTCCACTTTGCAGGTGAAGAAGAACACAAAACCAACCAATCTGGCCAGAGCTCTCTTCATTCGCAGCAATGGGATCCAAAAACAAGTGTAGAAGAAAATTGTAGCCATGCTCAAAGATGACTGAGAAACCATTAGGCATATCATTTTTTCTGGTGAAAAAAAAAATGCAATTCTTGTAACCCAAGTACCAAAATTTGTAAGGGTAATGGAAGTTTGAGTGATATGGAAAGGAACCCGTGTAGGCCTTTATATAGCAACAAGTTTTTGAGTGTTGAATGTTAAATCCTTAGTCTTAACAGACAATTTAAATGTATTATTATTATCTTAGCTCTGACTTTTGGAGGTTGGGGGAGAGGGGGTGTTTTGAAATATTATTTTTATTTACATATAAAAGTGTTTGATATTTTATTGTAGGTCAAGTGTGTAACACTGTGCTAAATTCATATGGATCGGCGGAGGAGCAGGGCCGGCGCCGACCCCACATATTTTTAGTCTTTGATTAAACATAGATTTTAAAATCTAGATGTTAAACAAGTACAACTTGTCTCTCTAATTCACTTATAATAGTAATTAGTAAGTACTTAAAGCCTCAGGAAGATCTTGTTCGAGCGCGAATAACGGTTTTCTTGAGATTTAGTTGTAATTAAGGTCACATTAAGCATGCAAATGCAGGTCCCTAGGTTAAATTTTCAATAATATAAAACGACTCGAAGCACAATGGACGAGCCTAGATTGACAATTCACTCATCAAGCAACTTATGCACAAGTTCGATACAAATTACTTTGGCGTTTAAATATTTAAAGTTTAGTGTTTACGATTTATAAGAAAATGCTATCTAATCAGTCGGACAACATAAACATTTGTTTGATGATATTAGACTAGTGAGAGAGAAGATCGATCCCAACCCGAATTTTAGTTATCTATTCTAATTGTTTCTAAACCTTTAATTTGTTTCTCATTGATTTCAATAGCAAGATATTTAGGTGTTTACTGGTTTACCTTTATCTGGTATTGTGGCCCTCGGTTTTAAACAGTGATCACCTACCAGACAAAAACCAAAGCTCAAATGACTCCGCAATTGGCTCCTCGACTCAGGTTTCAACTTGTGTACATATTAATAAAATGTGAAAACTAACAAGCTAGTCAATGATTATGTGCACATGATTTGGGAAGTTATTCACAAACACCATCATATGTTATAACTCATTAGTTATAATCTTGAAATGTTATGTACACAACACACAGCATGTGCTTCTAATTAACTTTCAATTTAGTTTCATCACCCAAGTTGTAGCATCCCCATATTTTGCCTCCACATGCACTAGCCAAACACTATGGAGCTTCGTAATATGCTTTTTCCCATGGTAGTCCTATAGATACCAACTATTATCACAATTTTAAGTAATACGAAACATATCATGACAGTTGCTTATTAACGTAAATAAATGAGAATGAGATTCAGAGTCGGTACGAATATAAACAAATGAAACACTACTACATCAGTTGGGGAGATTTAAAAAGCTCGGATATGAGTTGATGTCTCTAGGATTATAATAAACTCGTTGATAATTATGGGTTAATTGAAACATGCTACATCAGCCCCACCCTTAATGGGACAGTTCCCTCTAGCCTAGGTATATGACCACATACTACCTTAAACTAGCAGGGGGGATAAAAATAAAGCCGACCAAATCACAAAGATCTTATGGGGCACAGAGAATTTTGTTGGGTGTGAGTTGGTGCTTGGCATTTAAAGTAGGAGGAGCTTATAATACCCAAAGTCATTTCAAGAGGAGATGTATCTCTTTCTTCACAATTTGCTCACTTGGAATAAACAATAACCGACCATGATGAGTTTCTGCTTTTGCACAAGAGAGACGCCAACCGCTTTTTGCCATACGCGGTTGCATGTTTTGAGGGCTGTCTATTGGCACACTGCAGCTACCATCCACAATTTGAGTTGGCAACAAATTAATGTGACCAAAAGCGTATAGTTATGGCAACAGAGTGAACAGTTACATGTTCTACAAGCTTGGGAGCATCTTGGAGGAAAAAATAATTTATTTTCTGATACATCTTTGAGCTACCTAAAAGAAGAAGACCTTAAAAACAAGAACCCCCATTTCTTTTTTCTTCACCTAAGAGCACGAATTCTCCAGAACTTGTAGAATTATGCAAAATCTGCAAGTTAACATTCACAATAATATTTTTGGTCAAAACCAGTTTTAGCAGCGTTCTATATAGGGCTTCCAAACGTAATAAGCTTCAAAACGGATTGTATTTTGCATGAAAATTAAGTAGCGGAAATCAGATTGGCCAAACAAAAAGGATCAAGTAAAATGAGAGTGAAGAACTTGTATCGCTATCTATGGTGGTCAAAGAAGTCCTCCCACCCTGTCCACATTCTTTCCTTCACTATCACCATGGATGAAATATGAAGTGAAACTAACCTTGAAGCCATCAGTAAACCCAACTCTAACTTATAATAACTGACCTATTACTATTGTTGTTGCTGCTGCTGCTATTCCTTATGCTACTATTCACATTTGCTACCTCCATCACAAATCTGTCTACCCACCACAACCACCAGCATTTCCCCTGCCCTAGCCTTTCCAACAATGTTTTGTTATATGAACCAATGAACAGTTTCAACTTTGTTGTGCTGATTGACTAAGCAACACAAAGAAGTAAAAGCAAGCACAGATTAAGCTATTAAAATATGTGCTTAAAACATCTTTAGTTTTTTCAAGTATCCATTGATAGAAAACATGACACAGAATAAACATCACAGCAAGTAGCTAACTTTTGTAGTTATAAGAAAACTTGATCAAAGCCATAAATTGGGCATTCTAATTGAACTCTTATTAATCAGAAGCATCACGGGTCATTACCATGTGGAATGTAAACTGTATAAAACTTTATTAAAAAACTTATGCTGACAAATCCTCGACAACCATATAAAGCACAAGGAATCATGACCGTTATTAACAAAGTGAATTTCCAAGGGTGGCATTGATGTTATTCTCATGCTATCCCTCCTCATACAATGGGGCAACAAGGTCTTAACAAAGCCAAAGAAACTCAATCTTTTATAATCAACAGCAGAACAGCAAAACTTACAATTTCTTATGCTTCTAATGACCAAGAGAACTCAAAAAAATTTCTGAGACTTCTTCTTCCCGAAGATAGCTTCCCAAACCGTGGGTGAAAATGGCGCCTTTTTGTCCAAAAACTCTCTAACAGCCTTCTCATTTACCAAATACCCCTTTTGCTTCAACTTCCCAACAACACTTTCAGCTTCTTCCAAATCATTTTCCTTACAAATCGTATCAACCAATCCCACGAAAGTAGCTACATTCGGTGAGTGACCGGCTTCCAGCATTTCAGCACAAAATTCAACAGCATCCTCCAACTTATTAGACCTATACAACCCCTGTATCAACACAGTGTAACTAAAAGCATTGGGAATAATCCCATTGCTCTGCATCTTCCTGAAAATCCTCTTAGCATCTTCAAGCTTCTGAGCTTTGCAAAACCCATCAACCACAGCAGTGTATATAACGACCTCAGGAATAGTACCCTTTTCACGCATCGACCCAAAAAGCTTCATGGCGTCCTGAACCAACCCATCCTTGCAAAGCCCATCAAGCATGGCCACAGCATTGGGAATGAGACCCGTCTCCTTCATCTTCTTGAATATCTCGTCTGCTTCTTCAGGTGGCTGGGGCGGCTCGTCAACTTCTTGAGGCTTCTCTCTCTTGGACTTGTCAAGACCAAGCTTGAGCTTTTCAAGAAAACTGCTATCCTGCAATGGCGGAGAAGGGTTCTCTCTCCTCTTTTCTGAAATGGGTGAGTTTTTGTTGAGGAATTGAAGAGGGGAGGTCGGGGGATTGGACGGTCTTTGGCCTCTCAAAGGCCTATTGGGTATGGGCTCTGGAGGTTGTTGCTCTGGTGCTTCCATTTCACCGCTGCGATCAGCTGTGGAGCTTGAACGACGCAGTTTTATCGACAATCTCGTTGAAATGGGGGGTTCAGATGAATGGCGAAGAGGGTTAGATATTATGGACAAGATGTGCTTAGAAACCCGACCGTGAAACGATGGCATGGCCCCAGAGATTTCTGATCACTAAAGTGACGAGCTTTACGTTCTTCAATTTTAGGGTTTAAGGGAGAGTAAGGTTTTGGGGTTCAAACCAAAGAGAGGAAAACGAGGACTGTGATTGTGGCATTTACGGCAAAGAAGAGGGCACACTGGTCATTCAAGAAAACCACGAGGGCAAATACGGAATTTCGAAAAGAAGGCTCAGTTGTTCCTTCCCTTCGCTTCACTGCTTGAAGTGTAGCGCTAAAAGAAACAGATAAGGCTTGGGCTATGGCTGTCTCCTTCTTAACTCCTTCGTGCCACTGCCTCTGCCTTTGAATTTTCTGCGGCTGCCTTTACAACTGCAAAGTCTCTCTCTTTTAGCTTTTCCCTTTTGCTGTGCCTGATTGAATCATAGGTATGTATGTGACTCTTACTGTGTGCGTATATATTTGCTAAATTCAGACGAGAAAGAATGTTTTCCTGATAGAAATGAATGGAAATATTTAGTTTCTTAGATTTTATAATTGCCCATTTATTGAATATTTTTCATTTTCAGCGTGGTCTTCTATTGATGTTTACTTGTTAATCAACTTTTACACAAGTAGTTTTCTGGGTTTATATGAACTTGTGAATGTAGCTCGGGGTTGATGTGTTTCACTTGTTGTCAGGGGGCAAAATGGAAACCAGCACCACCCAAAATGGTAGTACTAGTATCATGTGGTTCTTCAGGGATAAAGGTTTTGATGATAAGAGCATTCAGGATATGCTAAAAAAGTGCAAGCGTCTTGAGAATGTGCATGGGGAAACAGCCTCTGAGAACTGGGCTTATTTGAAAAGTATTGGCATTCAAGAGAGAAAGCTACCTTCCGTTGTTTCAAAATGCCCCAAGATACTTACTTTGGCCCTCCATGAGAAGCTTGTACCTACGGTTGAGTGCCTCACCACGCTCGGTACCAAACCCCGCGAAGTTGCATCTGCCATTGCCAAATTCCCTCACATTCTGTCCCATAGTGTGGAAGAGAAGCTCTGTCCACTCTTGGCCTTCTTTGAGGCACTGGGAATTCCTCAAAAGCAACTTGGGAAAATGATTTTGCTCAATCCTAGGCTCATCAGCTACAGCATTGAAGCAAAGCTGTCTGAAATTGTGAACTTTCTTGCTAATCTTGGCCTTTCCAGAGAAGGGATGATTGGAAAAGTACTGGTAAAGAACCCATTTATCATGGGCTATAGTGTTGAAAAAAGATTGCGCCCTACTGCAGAGTTTTTGAAATCAGTTGGTCTCACAGAGCAGGGTCTTCAGACTGTGGCAATGAGCTTTCCAGAAGTGTTGTGTAGAGATGTAAACAAGATTCTGAGGCCCAATTTTGATTATCTAAAGAGAAGTGGATTTGAAGATGGTCAGATAGCAGCTTTGGTATCTGGTTATCCTCCAATTTTGATCAAAAGCATCCACAATTCTCTAGAACCTAGAATCAGGTTCTTGGTAGAGGTAATGGGGAGACGAATTGGTGAGGTTGCTGATTATCCCGACTTCTTTCGCCATGGTTTGAAGAAAAGAGTGGAGCGGCGACACAAACTTTTGAAACAGAGGACAACCCATTGTAGCTTGAGTGAAATGCTGGACTGTAATCAAAAGAAGTTCGCAACGAAGTTTGGTTTGGTTTGAAGAATAGGCCCAAGGTACTAGAGTCTCATATTTTCTGTTCTTTGATATTCATTTTTCTTGTATTGTAGCTTAGTTTGGTATTGTGTACTTTCAATATATGAGGTGAACTGAACTGGTATATGGTTTTGGCCCTTCTGGGTGGACCAGAGAAACTTAGTTGGCTCAAGAATCTGTGTGGACACAGAATGACTTGGTCTTAAATACAGTTCAATGTGAAAATTTTGCCTTCTATAAAGTGCCATCTGGTAGAACATTGTCCGAGGTAGTTTCAGTTGTTCATTTAGAAGCCAAAGGCTACAAACCTATCTGCTTTAATCAATTTTCTGTAACCTTAGCTAAAAGTAGCCTAATCATAGGTATAACGCAGTTGGCGAGGTTAATTGAGAGATCTTTTGGATCTCAAAGAACAAATGATGCCATAATCTGATTGGTTTTCTGAGGTAAATATGTAGAAAATTCTTAATATTGGCGATCCCGTAAAACAATATCATTAGGTATTCTGAACAATGGGCTTCAGTTAAAATCCTCCAATCTTAATGCAGAAGGAGATGAGCTAAAGCCACTGCAATAATGTTACATTCAGTGTTCCACCAAACTTTAGTAAGACACTGTAATGCTAGAAAGAATGACGTTAGAAACTGTACTCTCAGTGCTGCTGTAGGCAGTACCCATGGAAGGCCACATAAAAACAGGCTTGAATGGGGGTACACTAGGGGCTGGAGTGGTTCCAGCTATAATCTGGCATATGGCCTGTGTTTGAGGCCTCTCACTGGCAATGGGATGTGAACATGCCAAACCCAGAAGTAAAAGCTGATTTGCTTCATCAAACACATAATCATCGTTGAGCCGCTTATCTATGGCTTCTTCAATGCACCCTTCTCGATGCATCATCCACACCCAATCAACCAAGGAATACTGGTGGTGTTCATGAAGAATCTTAATCCCTGGACTTCTACCACATACAATCTCAAGCACCACTGCCCCAAAACCGAACACATCAGATTCTGGAGTAGCCTTTCCTGTGTGGAAGCACTCTGGAGCAACATAGCCCATGGTGCCCGGGACTCCAGCTAGTTCTAGTTCAGCGTATGAGTTCCTCTCTTGATCCAAGGCTCGGGCAAGGCCAAAGTCTCCCAGGCGAGCATTGAAGTCTGAGTCAAGCAAGATGTTGCTGGCTTTTAGGTCGCGGTGCACCACTTTTTGGTCATACTCGTTTTGTAGGTAATGCAATGCTGACGCCACACCAGCAAGGATCTTGCATCTATGTTTCCAATTCAGTGTATTCTGGCTGGAAGTTTCATATAAGTGCTTATCGACACTGCCATTTGGCATAAAATCATACACTAAAAGAAGCTTCCCTTTCTCATAGCACCATCCTGTACAACAGTCAATGTAGAGTACTGAGCAGGGTTTTGAAACTTCAAGATTTAGCTGTTTATGCAACAGAAATTTAAGTGAAGGAAGTTCAAACTTGAAATTATAGTCTGTTGGAATATACTTATTTTTGGATGTACAAGTTCTAACCATGTTTAAAAATAATAATTGAGAGTTGGGTTCTGAAGATTTCCTTGAAAGGAAGAAAGAAAAAGACATTGTCAATACAAAAGACCATATCAAAATTCAAATGGAGCAAGGTGTATTATTTCTCAGCCACCCCGAGCATTGTACGTTGACGATTTCTGGTTGACTGTTGGCCCTTTATTTATTTATTTATTTAGTTTTGAATTAAAACATTTTGAAATGTTCCTAATTAGCTCATTAATCTAAATTAAAGATTGGATTTATAAATTAAAAAAATTAAAAAAAGAATCGTGCAAATGACATACCCACTAACCGTACAAGATGTTTGTGTCGAAGCCGGTGAATTATGGTGAGCTCAGCCAAGAAATCATCTTTGCCTTTGATGTTGTCCCGGGAGAATTTCTTGACAGCAATTTCTGTAGAGGTTTCAGTATCTGCATGATCCTTATCATGCAGAGTTCCTCTGTAAACAATGCCAAAACCACCTTGTCCAAGTCTCATACCTTCATGGAAATTATTAGTTGCCTCCTTAAGCTCCTTGT